CCAGCTTAGTGTTGTGTATTAACAGTTAAATAAAAAGTTTGAGAATTTTTATCCCTCGAATACTATTTTTCGTGAATTTATGTTGTTATTGAGACTTAAAATTTGGAAAATTAACCTTCCAAGGTTGTAATTAATCGCACGACTTGTAAAATTTCAATACATCAGAAAAAGTGTAACAAAATGATATAAATCCAATACTAAAACATAAATTGGCATTTCCCTATATGTAGAGTTTAGTATATTAGCATTAGATATCGACATGGAAACTCACTAGTGCGTGTGTTTGGTGTCGTAGGATCCCGGTAGTAAGACGTTGGTGCATCCCGAAGTACCGCTTGTGTCTACACAAAACATCGTGAGTATTCACGCACTCCCCTATTTTCGTTTTTTATGTTTTGGGGTGGAAAAGCATGTCCAGAAAAACTATTGTTTGCATGTTGTACTTAAATTGAATTGTATCAAACATGATTGCTATTGTATTGCTATGTTTCTTTATGTATGTCTATGCAACACGGAACATGAGAACTTATCGTACAAAGGCCCTTCCCTTATCTCTAACCATTAACTCTTTGAGCCAATGGTCGTTATGGATAGCGCTATTAGGAATTGACAACTCCTCACTCGCCCGAATCGCTGGAGTGCATGATACCATATTCATCTATGGAACGATAAGCATAGATCTCGATAGGGCTTCAGTCATAGGTTTGGTTGAGACTCATTGTTTGCTCATACACATACAAACTCGTTTCTCGTTATAGCAATAAACTTGTATTCATTAATAGCAATCAACTTGTTTATCATTGAAGCAATGTACTTGTATTTACGAAAAGCCTTATTGTACGCTCGATTTTATAAACTTGTGATACTCACCAACTATTTTCATAGTTGACGCTCGTTTTACATGCTTTTTCAGGAAATAATTAGTAAGTGGATGTAAAGATTCATCATCATAGAGCATGCTGCATCGTGTTGAAGCTATTATGAAGCTATATTTTGAACAATGTTATTTTGAAAAACTTGTATTTTGTTCTTTTGAAGCTATGGGTTGTAAACTTTTAAATACTGCTATGGTGATGTATCTTTATCTTTTGCAATGAAACCGTTATCGCTGTCATACCTTGCGTTTCCGCTTTAGCGGGGTGTGACATATGATAAATATGGAATTGTTTCCATACTGGGAGTTGGACCTTAAGAATCTCTATGTAGATTAGAAACTTTTATGCACGAAGGATGTTCAAAGGAATGTACTTTGAATGTGAGACTTCATGTTTATGGAATTGTCTTGCAACAATATCCAATAGATGACTTTGTAATTTCATTGGCAAAGTTTTTGTGACTTTGGCGCTATGACATTACGAAAGAGTCGTTGCATAAAATGTTAAAATCTAACATATTCTATCAATGACAAGAATTTGGTATTCTTACACTTGTGGTAAGGATTGGGAATTGTGAAGTGAGTGTGATTGAAAATGCTATTCAATTATACCATTTCACAAAGTAAGGACCATAAGTAAACATAGTGTGCATACTAAGAGCATGGGACAATTGTTGTTATAGTTCAAGTAATAAGTTGATTACTTGAAACATTATACAATGAATAATGTGTATTAAATATGATGATTAAATAAAAGGAGTTTTATTTATACTCAAAAGTTTGGGGCCATATTGGGTTCGATTATTCTTGTGTTTCACTTTGCATGTTTTGACTTCTTGAATAATAAGATTATTCTAACGCTCTACAGTCGCTCATACTTTGGGACTAGGTATGAAAGAAGATTGTCATGAATTGGTTTGTAGATTGCCTAAAGTGTATTAGACATAGCAAATGTTTGCTGCAATGTTCATGAGTGCTTATGAATATGATTTGAACATTGGATTAAACGTACGCTCACTTGGATCGCTTCATGGATTTTATCATGAGTGATTGGTGAGACGATAATATCTTATATTCTTGAAACCGAGATGTTTGAGTTGTATCTTGTGATTCGGTTACACATTGATAATATGTAAACGCACTAGTAACTTGGTGTTATAAAACGTATTGTTGTGTGTGATTCGGTAGGTGAGTACAAGCGAGCATTGAGTCAAAGTTTATCCACTCCTTTTACCCAAAATGGGATAAAAGCAATATCTATGGGGCCCTCGATGATTTAGTGATGACACCTAAGCGTCTGGCCAAGCCGGGACTAAGTTGATGTGTTTAATTGTAGTTTGTTGTCAGTCTTCATAAATCGAAAATCAGGAAACAACACATGAACATAGAGTATGATTTGAATCCATGTCTCAGTTCATACGATATCTAGAATGGAGGAATATATGATCACTTATCTAAAGGACACACTTATGATAAGATCAGAGTTGACAACGACTTTTGAAAGCTATGATTACTGATCAGGTTTAAAGTCATACACATAATAGTTGTTCGACTTATCCAAGTGGGTGACTGTTGGATTAGTGTCTAAGTCCATAACTATTTCGGTATGTACTTGACCCGATTGTGAGTATGGTCCTTTTGGGTTGCCTTCACAAAAGCAACTTGATAGGATGATTTGTGGAGAAAGTGATTAATTATGATTTATTAATATATTATATGAATAATATATTAAAAAAAGAAATCATATTGTTTAATTAATATTAGTCAAGAATTAATAAGAATTAATTTTATGGCTAAAAGACATTAATCAAATAAAGGGGACTAGAACTGTGAATTGTGTGATAGTTGGATATTGGGCTAATGGACTCCATAGAGGTTGGAATGGACAAAATCTATGGGGAAACCCATGAGAATTCGTCCAAGGCCTCTAAGGAGAGAGTCCATGGGCTACTGAGGGCCTAAGCAGTCAGATTAGGGTTTCCTAGTTCAAAACCCTAATAGCCTTACTATATAAAGACCCTTGGGGCACCCAAAAACGTGGCTAAGCATTACTTGGAGTTTCTTGGACGTTTTTGGTGCCTCCTTCTAATCTCCTAAGTCATCCTCTTTCTCTTGGTGTTTGTAAGCCATTAGAGGTGTGACACTTGTGACACGAAGCTTTCCGAAGCCAAATACAAGAAGGAATAGATTGTTATTGCTACATCAAAATCAAAGGTAAGATCTAAACCCTATATTATGATAATGTTGATTATTGTATGCTATATCTAGGGTTTATGGATTTGGATTATTATTTCATGTTCATTAGACAAACTAGATCCAAAGCTTCATGGTTTACATGTACAACATAGGAATGATGTAGTGCTCAAAACCCATCATTTTGGCCTTGGAATTGTTGGGCCTCAAGCCTACCTGCGGATTAAGGCCTCTGGGCTTAGTCCTAGGATTTATGGTATTGGGCCTTATTGGAACTTAAGGCTTAGTTAGATGAACTTGGACATTTTAACTTGGAAGTTGGGACTTGGGAGGAAGAGGCCCAATAGGGCAAAAATGAGGGAACCTTTTCCTTACGTTATGAGTCAAGGTTTGGCCTTTGGGGGGGGGGGGGGGGGGGTAGGTTTAGATCCAATGACTAATTAGGAGATTTTTTGTGCTATAAGGATAGGAGTCTCGAATCATCCGAGGAGTACATTTTGACATTCACAGTTGAGGTGAGTCTCCTTTCGCAGAATTCGTGAGTCGAAGGCACCAAGGACGACCCACTAGTTATGATATGGCATGATGATTGTCTTTGTGATAATTATCGTTTGTGCATGTGTTATTGATGATTTTGTGAATTATGTGTGATATCATGTAGTAGTGGTAGGGGTGAAATAGACACGGTATTCGGTCAGAAGAGACGGAAGGGGCAGGTCGAGCACCCATATATGCTCGACATTATTCGGTTGAAATAGACCGAAGGGTCAGGTCGAGCACCCAAATATATATGCTCGGTAGTATCCGGTTGAAATAGACCGAATGGGTAGGCCAACACTCGGATATGCTTGGCAGTATGTTTACATTGTATGTGGTATAGTGGGAAACTCACTAAGCTTTATGCTTACTGTTTTAGTTTGTGTTTCAGGTACTTGTAGCTCGAAGGGGAAGGGGCCGGATTGATCGTGTCGCATCACACTATGATTTTCCGTAGTAGGGATTTTGGGACATACGCTCTGATAGTATTTCCCACGAATTGTCTTAACTAGATACTATAACTATTTTGTGTTTCATGATTTTGAAATCAATGATGTTTTATGGTCGTGATTTTGGTAAACTTAAAAATGAAATTTTCAAGTCGTATTTTTAGGATGTTACAACGTATGTAGGAGTATGCAGAGCATACTCGACCATGGTCTAAACCCTAAATTTATGGTTTTAAGCTTTATTTCAGCATCTTAAACTTCATAAACCCTTATCGTTCTTAGCCTCCTTTTCCCCGTATGACTCCCTTAAAACCTTAACCCCATATTTGAGCATTGTGAGCTTAAGAGTGTATCTTTGGGAGCTCTTGAAAGAAAAAGAAGGTGGTGGTGGTGCTTGGAAAGCTTAAAGCCTTGTGGATATGGGATTTCTATCTCTTAGGCATTCTCCAAGAGGTATAAAGTTCAAAACTTGATGAATATCTTGATATATCTTGTTAGCTTTAGATTTATGTCCCCTTTGTCCCGTACTATTAGCATAGTTGGGTATGAGCTACTCCATACCTTATGAGTGGCCTTTTATTCAGACGTATTTGAGTGAATGGTGTCATAAAAATGCAATCTTGATCCTTTCTTTCCATCCATGTATGATTTATGGAGCCTGGGATCTTATGATAAGTTAGGGTTTTGGATTTGGACACTTTCTAGCCATACAAAGTCATAAAGTTGGAAACTTCATGATTTAGGATATTATTTAGGGTTAAATATGAGTATTGGGTGGAAGATATTAAGGGGATAAGTGCTTAATGAAGAGTTTGATTTTAGCTTGAGTACGCGGGGATAAGTGCTTAATGAAGAGTTTGATTTTAGCTTGAGTACGCAGGGCGTACCTAAGGGTACGCAGCACGTACTCCTGCATTGTCCCATAAAAGCTAAGCCACACTCTGGGTATGCGTAGAATAGGAGTACACAAGGCGTACTTGGTATGTATGGTGAGTTTTGGCTTTTGACTATTGACTGTTGACTTTGACCAACCCTGACTTTAGGTCATTTGGGGTGAATTAAATAATAGATTGAGAATGGGTCCATGCTTATTATATAGGTGACATGTAGAGATAATTTTTTGAGCAATGACAGTTCGACAATCTTTCAGACCGTGAGGTGAGTTTTCCTCACCGTACTTGTGGGTCAAAGGCACCAATGTCAACCCACTAGGTTATGTATCCTGGTATATATAGGATGATGTTATCCTGGATATATGTTAGACTGATAGATCTGTATGATTACATGTACTTGCTGGTTATTGAATGCTACTATATACGTCAACATGTTATTGTTTGGTTGGGTTAAGGTGGTCCTACTTTGTACTGAAGGCCAAGATACCCGGGACGGTTCAGATAGGTTTTGAGAGGCGGTCCAGTCTGGCCAAAGGCCCGGAGAGAGCGATCCGGATAGATTGTAGGCCGTGCGAGGCGGTCCAATAAGGATGAAAGCTCATGTATGCATGTTGTTATTTGTTTGGTTGTGTAATGTACTTTAGGGGAACTCACTAAGCTTTGGCTTACAATTTGATTTTATGGTTTCAGGTACTTTAAAGGATAGGGGCAAGACAAAGGCTTGATTGTGCACATCATCCTGGATTTTTATGTGACTTATGATATTGGGATACTCTGATTCATGATTATGGTTTTTGGGAAACCAAGTTTTTCTATATTTTATGGATTTCATAATGAATTTAAAAATGAAAACTCATTTTGCCTTGATTTTTGGGATGTTACAAATCTTATGTGTTACATTCTTTAATCACTGATTATAATCTTTAGGTATAACTTTACGATCAAAACTAATTTGTTAACTATTTATAATAAAGTCATAAAAGTATTAAAAAATTATTTTTAAAATTGAAAATCCACTTTATTTAAATTTTAATTTATTTTAGCAACATCCAAATGTTAAACAAGAAATAGTCTTCTTCTTTCAGACTGCAAACGTTTAGTTCACATCTTCTACTAAAGAGGTATGCAGATGTGGTCCGCATACTGCAAACATTTTGCCTCTGAAAAACAAACAACACCTTACTGTATTAATGGATAAAGTTTCCAATTTTATCTATTTGCATTCCCTAACATTACCAACTCTAAACCTAGGTCAAAAGAGGACCAAAATACAACCAAATCGTGCCATATAGGGTCCATAATACCTCAAACACAACTTTTGGACCTAGAGTTGTGTAAGCTCCATCAAAACACCATAAAAGGGACCAAAACAAGCATACGGGCTTGGATCTAACATGTCTCAGGCATAAAGGTTCAAACTTGAAAACTTACAGAGCTTTAAAAGAGTCATAAGAAGGTAGAAACTTCAAGGGTTGCTTCATTTGACAATAGAGATGAAATCCATTTCTTCAAATCCACTCAAAGCTCACACACTTAAGTCCAACACACAAATAATAGAGGCTAGGGTTTGAGAGGAACATTTCTAGGGTATGGAGGCTGAGAATAGAATAAACCCTAAACATAATATTCCTTACATAGGTCTCAAGGCCTGGGATATATGGTTTTGGGTTGTGACGGCTTCGTGTCGCGACCAACATAAGGTCGCACTGCTACTTAATGACGTGGCTCACAAAGCGTCCATTAATTAAGTAGTTGCGTTGTGACCCAACCAAAAACCCAAACAAACATAACCTAAGAAGATTAAGAAATAAACCACATACTTGAAAACGAGGCGTAACAAATGTGTTCTTTTACAAATGATTTTTATTATAATTAAAGTTTGATAAAAAAAATGTTTTAAATATTAAAAGTTATGGTTTTATATATATTAAAGAAAATAATAATAAATTTAAGGTGTTATAAAAAGGGTTCGAGGAAACAATCACATATTCTTACTAAACCAAATGTAGATAACTTTTGAACAATCACATATTTTTACCAAATCAAATGTGGATACCTTACCAATGATAGCATTTGATGCAATTTTTGGAAGACATTTTTTCCGGTAACAAAGAGACTATTGTAAATGCTGAATTAAATGTTGTCGATAGATTTATTTCCAAAATTATCGACGTTTCGAATGATCCACCATAATCGAGTTGAAGAGGAGTCCATAAATGTCGACGCTCTAGATGCTCTTTTTGAACTATTTATTAATTATAACAAACTCAATATCTTATATGTTTTTATGTGATTTTATATATATTCTTGATACTCTATCAGCTAATTTACCAAACGTTATTTTTTACCGACATAAAAATAGTGTTTTAACTACTCTTCTAAACATTTTTTTTATTAAGAGCTTTTTCAAACCTAAAGAGTTTATATAAAAAAATAAATACATTGTAGGAACTTAAAAAATTATTTTATGCATTTACAAGTGTATTAGATGTGCTTTATCAAATAAAAAAACATGATAGCTTTTTTTTTTTTTGTGTCTCAAACTTTTTTTTTTTTTTTTTAAATTAAAATTTGTTTAACCAAGACTTTATTAAAAAAACATGATACCTTTTTTTGTCTCTCAATTTTTTTTTTTTTTAAATTAAAATTTGTTTAACCAAGACTTTATTAGACGTGCTTTGTTAGAAAAAAAAAAAAAAAAAACTCTAGACAATCTTGATAGTCTCATTATATTTTTGTTCATATTCTTTGGAAAAACTTTTGACAACGAAATAACGGTAACAAAGCCGCACAAGTTGCAAACTTCAAAAGCATAAGCCATACACATTTGCGAACGGCGGCTTTTCTTTATATAAATAAGCAGATAAACCCTATTTCATCACTCCAGTGCCATAAACCCTAGCCGCTTTCTCTCTCCTTGAACCCTAATTACTTCCAAGGTACAGCAACTTCCCCTTTCTTCTTGATCTTCTTCGATTTTGCAAGTGATTTATTTCTTGATCATGGACAAATTACCGTCTATATGATCGATCCTTCAAGTTTTGACAAGATCTCTCATCTTCATTAGTTCTCTTTGTTTTTATTTACTTGTTATCTCACATCTTTCTAACATAGCAGTCTTTATAAATTACACTTCTTTTTATCGTAGTCAGCTAATTCATCTATTTAACTAAAACAATTAGATTCTGTGTTTTATGTTGTTCGGTGTTATAGTTGTTCGTTTCTTGAGTCGTATGTGTTGTTCTTCCAAAGGCCGACATGATTTATGTCCATGGCTGCTTGATTTCTCCATGAAACAGAGACACCTGTCTATGGTATAAACAGGGCAAAATTAAACGTACAGATTCATTCCAAATTTTGTTGTTCGAGTTAACAAAAATCTTTACTAAAACCACGTACTTATAGTTTTACAAGTGATTGACACTTATAACTTGCAAAAACTGGAAGGTTTTCACATTGGTTTCGATAATTAGATGGTTTTTGAAAGTCAGGTGATCAAATTAAATTTTTTGATTTTGCTTATAAACGTATAATACCCGTTAATATTATGTAAACTGTATGATGTATGATATATTTTTTTCCCAATATTGTACTCTTTTCTTTATGTTTGAAACCTTTTACTCAATATACAAAATATTCATGTGCAGATTCTTTGAACTTAGAACAGTTGAAAATGGCTTTCTACAATAGAATCGGTAGTCTCATGAAGCAAACAGTTTCACAAAACTCTGTATCAAATGGACAAATAACAGGACCTTCAATGTTCAATGCTATTCGCTGCATGTCTTCAAAGCTTTTTATTGGTGGTATGTAACTCTAATAGTCATCGACTCCCTTCTATTCATGTGATTCCGAAATATAATAATCACTTAAAAATGTTGCACAGGTCTTTCTTATCAGACTGATGATCATTCCTTGAAGGAAGCATTTTCTGGATTTGGTGAAGTTGTTGAAGGTAACAATGATCCAGTAAACTATAAATGGATGTTTCTTAATAGGCTATCTGTATTAAGTCTTAATTTATTTATTTCTATATTTCATAAAATATCTTTTAAATGTCATTTTTCTTAAATATTTTTTCAGCAAGAGTTATTACTGACAGAGAGTCAGGGAGGTCAAGGGGATTTGGTTTTGTTAGCTACAACAGCGAAGATTGTGCCAAGGAGGCTATGACAGCCATGGATGGACAGGTTAGAAAATCAAACTTTGTCTTTCTGTTTCTGTCAGAACAGAACAGGTTGTACTGTGTTCGACAGAAACAGACTGAGAACATGACAAACTTGCGGTTTCTTGCACCACTAAAAAGGTGTGTTCTCATCATCGAAAATAGCCCAATCTAACTTTTAACTTATTTTGGTTGTTTAGGAACTTAATGGGCGAAGTGTTCGTGTTAGTCTTGCAACAGAGCGCGCTCCACGTACAGGTGGATTTGGAGGTGGTGGTGGTTATAACCGTGATGCTGGAAATGATCGCTACTAAAAACCATATGTTTTTAAATAACAAAGTTAAAAGTTATATCTCGTATTATGAAACACTAGATTATTGATTTTCTTCGTTTTTTGCAAGGAGTTATATGAACTGATTAGTATTTTTAGTATGTATCATGTAATCATAATCTTTTGTGTGCAACTTTACATCCGTTCAGATGTGTCTCTTATCTTATTGATAGATTGGTTGAATGCTAGGATTTTTTTTTGGCATTAGGTGTACACTTTGAGCGACAATATTCACTTGTAAGAATTTTCTTAGAAAAAGCTTTGGAAATGTCGACAATTGTTGACAATATTCTTATGAGCTTTTTGAATTGGTTGAAAACTTTACTGAAGTGGTTTAAAGGTATTTTTTAATGGTAGAAACGTTAATTACATTTTGTAATTCAATTGGGTTATCAACCCCTACACCATTTTGATCTAAACTTAAGCCACAAAACACCGTAGTTTTGACATCAAAACCATAAAATTGCCCTTGACTACAATTTAAGTCTTTCCACCAGTCGAGGAGTGAGGCTCCAAGAACAAAACCAAAAAAGGTGATCTTCATTTTCTTGAAATGTGAATATAGGGCAAAAAGCATTTGTGAACAAAACATGAATTTAGACTAACAAACATATTCTAGTGCAAATATCGCGAAGATTAACAAAGCAACATGTAATTAATTAAAGGTAGTCGATTACATGCTTAGATAAGCTTTATATATACAACCGTAAACTTGTTACAAGTATGATCACACTAATCAAGAAAGTAGGTGGGACTAGTACTGATTAAAAAATACAAGTGACTAAATTTGTATAAAATCAAAATTATCTTACCTTTATAAGTCATTATTTCAAATCAAAATTGACGATAATTTTATATGATAATCTTACAAACTAATATGATACTCAAATAACCTTTATAAATATGAAACGTTCCTAAACTCCTTAATATGTGATATTTTCATAATTCACATTAAAAAAATATACAACATCAATAAAAAAAGTTGTATAAAAGGAAAATACTACTCTAAAGGAAAATACTACTCTAATTCTAATGGAGCATAATTAAAGGCAACAATTCTATAAAAGGTTTCTTACACATTACCATGCAAGAAAAGGGTTTCTAAGACATTTTAACAAACTCTATCTCGAGACGAAACAAAAATGTTTAGCAAAATAAATTCAAAACTTCGTATATAGTTGAAATATTTGTAGTACCAAAAGTGACTAAGGACTAAATTCTTTCGAACAACATAAACAGAAAAACATGGTGATAGATTAAATCACTCAAATGCCACTAGATACAAAATTTCAAACTCAACGCAATTACCTCAAATCTACATTTAAAAGATTATAAATGCATCAAAAAAACTATACCGATGCTAAATCGTTTTTGCTAAAATGATTTTCATACCATAGCATGTAACATGCTTACATATGCATTCACAAACTAAATTAACACCTTCCTCAAGTAAGGATCTAACGACAAAAATACCTTACGTATCAACTATGACAAAATACCTTACGATATCATAAACAAGCTGGATGATCTTTACACTCTTTAACTTCAATGGATGAAAGATAGGGTATCAAGATCTCAACACTCCTCAAATCAAAAGACTCTAGAAGTTACAAAATGACAACAATCTGAAACTCTAAAATAGTTTAATCTACAATGAAATCCCATGGATTATGGGTGATTAAAAACATTTATCTCCTCCAAAATAATCGATCTGTCTCTTGGAGAAATCAATTATAACCTTGTAAAAGGTTTTAAACAAAACTAAGATGTTTGTGGGTAAAAAAAGTCGTCTTGGACAACTCCAAGGGTAACATCAATTATAAGGAATGAAATGTAGGACGAGAGAGTAAGAAAAATGAATTTACGTAGAACCCTATGAACCCTACTATGGTTGGAAAAAAATCAACCAAGAAAGAACCGTATGAAGGGTATAAGAAAATCGATTTATAAGGAATGTAATAAGAATTTTTAGAATCTTGAAACCTGATCTCTAATACCACTTGTTATAAAGATGATGATCAAACGAAACAAAATAATAATATAAAAAATATAAATATAGATGGAAACCCTTTTAAGAAAAACCACAAAGCACAACTTAGTATATTAATTAAAATATACATGGGCTAACTTCGGGTCTTCCTACTCATAACTACATGGGCCGTCATTGTGGCCGTAGACCCATTCACACAAAGGGAAACTCACTTGCACTGCTGAACTTGCTGATAACCCTCTTGCTGCTGACCGAAAATTCTTTGAACCGCTGCTCCACTAGCTCCCCGAGCTACCAATATCAATATACATATATCACTTAGTTCCAAACTGAACTCTAGAAGCCAAACTAAGTCAACTCTGGTCAAAGTCAATCTTTTTGGCTGACTCTACTCGTCGATATAGTCCTTTGACTCGTCGAGTACATATACTCAGAACTCTCATAATGCGACCCAACTCGCCGAGTCACCCCAAGACTCTTTGATTTCAACGATCTCTGAGTCCCATCCTGTCTAACTCACTGGGTCACCATTCAACTCACTGATCTGAGCCTTAACCAGAAGGGGTTAGTGTTTCGCGACCTGACAATCTTCAACAGACTCGCCGAGTTGTTCTTCCAACTCGTCGAGTCCATGCCCATCTTTATCCAACTCGCCAAGTCCACCCATGTGACTCGTCGAGTCGCTTAAGTTCTTAATCCATACAGTGGCTTTTCGAGTCATGTAGGGGCTCCAACTCATAGATCCGCCCTTCCCAAGTCTATTCCTCACGTAAAGTTGCAAACTTTACGTGAAACCAAAGAGATATGGGCTTAAAACACTCTAGGGCTAGGGTTTGTGACCAAGGGGCTTCACCAACAACTTATTGGCATAAACTGTATGGCTTTCTGGATCCTTAATAGCCTATATATAAGGTAGCAACCTCAGATCTACTCCAAACTCGGAATAAACCTCCTCCATACTCAAAATGCCCAAATCTCAACCATAAGATAGATCTAAATGCAATAAGGTCAACTTATTACCTTAAGGGATCTGAAAAGTCACACCAACTCTGTATCCAAGGCTTCCTCTTGCACCACTATGAACCTTCTTCTCTTCCAAGCTTCAAATCACTTCACCAAGGCTAGATCTTGCTCAAAATGGATATGGTGGCTAGGGTTTGGTATTCTGGGTGAGAGAGACTGTAAAGGAACCCTAGGGAAGAGAATGAGACGTTTAAATAGGGAACCAAGTCCCGAACTTAGGGTTTCCCAATCCAGACCGGACTCGCCGATTCCACTTTCCGACTCGTCGAGTCAGTCACTTACTCTTCGACCCGGATCCCGCTCGGACTCGTCGAGTTCCACACTGGATTCGACGAGTTGACCCTTTTGACCTAGGGTTTTCCTTTCCTTTCTTGGTCTTTCTGATTATGGGTGTTACATGATTACTCTATGTTTCTTACTCTTATCAAATTGGTATCAGAGTAATCGTTCATGAGCAATGTTGAAACCTGATACAAGATCAAAGACCGTTGCCCGTAATCTCAACAAGGGCCCAATGTTCGAGGAGGGTGGGTATTCATCATGGGACCGAGTTGAGAATATGGAAGAGGAGTTGGAAGGAATCAAGGCCATGGCTAAACGGAAAGCGGTTTTGGCCATAAGAAAGACTTCTTCTGGTGTTGGTATTGCCAATATTAGCCGACGCGTTCAACAGAGGTGGGGTCTCGCCCGTCTGCTGGATTCGATCTCCTCCAATCTGGAGGGGGTTGTGGTGATCCCCGATGATGACATGCAGTAGTCCAATGGGAATGAAGGGGCGTTTAAGCAGCCCGTTGTTCAAGTGAAAAGTTGTTCAAAGCCTACCACAACCTTTCTTATTTGGGCGGTTTTGCAAGGGTTTTGCACCATCAAACTCCTCCACGAGAGGTTTCTTAGGGTCCCATGGGCCCTGGCGCAGGTCTTTTTGTGCCAAAGTCAAATCTTTGAAATGACTCCAAGCTATCTGTTCGAGCTAACGCGGTGGAGTTTTCCCGCCACGCTTTTCCTTCAGATGTTGTTGCCGATATGGATGTCATGGCGAACATTACCCTTTCTCATAACATGCCTTATGTTGCTACCCATATCATGTTTTATCTGGTGGCTAGTTCTTGGTGCATTCAACGACTTGATGAGCTGGACAATGATGATTTTGCTGGATTTGAATCAAAATACTAACTACAAATCGTAGAGCTTGAGAAGAAAATTTGCGGCTTCAAGCAGAGGCATGATCTATTGGCTTGGGCAAAGGCATCTGTGGAAGAGGTTCAAGCGTCGTTAGAAGCTAAAGTGGATTCTTTGGTGCAGGCCAAGGAAGGATTGATGATCCAAAATAGGAACCTTGAATGAGACGTTATTGATCGCGACATGCTAGTTCAAGAGGCTCGGGCTGAGGTAGATCCCCTGCGCTAGGATTGTGATTGGCTTCTGCAAGTGGGGGTTGTGTGCATCATGGACAAGTTGACTAAGCATCCAGAGTTCACTGGTGGGGTTAGCCGAATTCACCATGTTGCTTTCGTTGTCGGGGAAGAGTTTGGCCATACTGGGATAAAGTTGGAAATAGATTCTGGAACCTATGATCCTGAAGCCAACAATTCTCAGTTCAGACATACCACACATACCACGAAATTGGATGATGCACTGCTTAGCATTGCCACACTTGATTAACTCACTAAACATAGGTAATCATGTAGATCGACAACCTAACACATACTCAATATAAAAGTAATCCAATATACCAGGATACACAATCAAGTGGGCCGGACTTGGTGCCTTTGAACCACAAGTACAGTGAGGAAAACTCACCTCACAATCTGAGAAGATAGCTAAACAGATCAAAGCTCCAACTACTGACTCTATGGGTTACCTATACAACAAACAATAACCTAGTCTCAAACTACAACTCGAAATACTTAATACCCCTAGGTCAAATTTGGTCAAAATCCTGGTCAAGGTCAAAGTTAAAAAGTCAAAGGTTCTTTCCAGGCTACATACGCCCAATGTACTCCCCTCTACGCCCAGCATAGAGGGTGACTCACAAGATTACGGGCTCGAAACTTGGTACGTGCAGCATACCTTTAGGTATGCCGAATGTACCAGAACTGAACCCCAACTTTTCCATTAAGCTCTTATTTAATTAAGCCAAGGCACCAAACTTCAGATCCCAGTAAAAAGGGACGTCTTAGTGGATAAAGTCTCTGACTTTATCCATTTACATGCATTCGGGAGGGTAAAAACTCAAACCCTTGTTCCAAAAGT